TAATACTCAAGAGGATTCCAGGTCTTCTCAATCATTCGAAGGATCTAATTCAAAAGACTCATCATCCGCCCAAGAAGAATCTGGATCTCCTCAACTGTCGGAAGTCTCTGACTCAGCTCCCTTAGAAGCAACAGATGGACATCAGCACCTTGAGGAACCTATTGTTTCTAGCCCAAGCTTAGCACGTAGTGGAACATCTCCACCACCTCATAATGCTTCCTCGGTTTCCCATCATCCTATGCTGACTAGAACCCGAACTGGAACTCATACAGGACATGTGAAGACCAATTTTTCTAGACATGCTCATACTATGACCACTAATAAGTTTTCTTTGCACATTGCAGGGCCTGACATTCATGAACCGAAATCTGTCAAAACAGCACTAAAAAGCTCACATTGGGTCAAGGCTATGCAAGAAGAACTAGTTGCCCTGCAAAAGAATGCAACATGGACACTGGTTCCACTACCTTCACCATCTATCAATGTTGTAGGCTCCAGATGGGTATTCAAAACTAAGCTTCATTCTGATGGCAGTTTGGACAGATTCAAGGCACGCTTAGTCGCTAAGGGATTCTCTCAGATACCAGGAGTAGACTTTGATGAGACTTTTAGCCCTGTCCTTAAACCGACAACACTACGCTTAGTTATAGCACTAGCCACCACTCTTAAGTGGCCTCTTCGACAACTAGATGTGAAGAATGCCTTCCTTCATGGACAACTTAAAGAAACAGTATATATGACTCAACCACCAGGCTTTGAAGATCCAAGTTATCCTAACTATGTCTGCAAGCTCAATAAATCCATCTATGGGCTCAAACAGGCTCCGAGAGCATGGTTTGATACTTTCACCTTACATCTTTTGAAAATGGGTTTTAAGTGCAGCCAAGCAGACTCCTCTCTTTTTGTACTTCATACCAACCACGGCACTGCTTTACTTCTCCTTTATGTTGATGACATTGTTCTTACTTCAAGTTCAGCAAGGCTTCTACAACAAATCATTGATCATCTTAGTGGAGAATTT